ATTGGAGCTGTGTCTAAAACAAACTTGCACAGGCTGAGAAGTTGGAATGTCACCTCTGAATAACAAGCAGTGCTACTGCAGGGACAGCAGGATAATGATATCAGCGTCTAAAGGCCAAGTCACTCTCAGAAACACACACACACACACACACACACACACACACACACACACACACACACACACACACACACACACACACACACACACACACACACAACAGGGAGCGTGGACGTAATCCTAAGCCATTTTCACATATGCACTCCGGATAATATCTAGATAATTACAGGAGGACCGCTCTGGAGATTCTCCCTACCTAGCCGTTCACATATGCTCCTCACAGCGGGGGACTTTCCCTGTCAGAGGGGAGGGGGGTCGGGTGATTTCCTGAGGTAAGACGTGACGTAAATAAACAACGCGGAAGTAGCGGCCGAAGCAACAGAGTCCACTACACAACGCTATAATGACAATATTTGTCTTTATATCAATACTATGTGTAATCCAATGAAATGACAACATCCACAAAAGAGAGGAGAACAACATACTGACGAACAGAAAACATAATGCAGCCGTTACGATTACGTGCACTGAGATCGTAGAGGTCGCGTGTAGACACTTTAGGCAGTCACTGTATATAAACGTCACTCTCTTTCTATTGGCTCGAGGTGAATTTTCCGGAGAATATGCTGCAGCGTTCTCACATCAGCTCACTCGGGCTTTCTGTGGAAAAAATACTAGGGGTCTGGCTGGAGAAACTCCGGGGAAGTCTGCGCGAAAATTCAGCTGTTAAAGCCCCTCCGGGTAGCCTAATCTCTGGAGTTTTTCAGGAGATTTCCATATGTGTGAAAAGGGTTCTAGTAACTCCTTGCAAAACTATAGCCAGTTAAAGCCAGTATGTTTTGTTTTTTTCGATTAGACTTTGTGCTGTGATAGATTCCCTCTGTGGATGTTTTTTTGTTTTTTTTACAGGAGTTTGTAGTGTTAAACAGATTTTCTGCAAAGTGCCTTTTAGTCAGTGTTATCCAATATTAAATTACTACCTGACAACTGATCCCCTGGTAGTTGTCCTGTTTGTCATTCTGCATGGTGCTTGTCAGAGTCTTTTTGTCATGTTCCCTGATTACACAATGTGTCATTGTTTGAGATGCAGTAGTGACTCAGACAGTGTTTTCTAAATCGAAACCAAGATGCACCAGTTAGTCATAAAGTTGAATATGAATAAGATGTAGAAGTCGTATTAGAGGCCTGAAAAGTACAAATATCAACATAACATTATAGTCACAAGTATGAGGTGAATTTTTAATTCCAGTGCTCAACGTTTGTGTGGATTTGCCTTTTATTGGCTGATATGGACCAATCAAAGATCAATCAATTTCTGCTTATGTTTTCAGATATGCTGCAATATTAAATATTCAAACTTAACTGAATATGTTGGAGAAAAAGAGTTATTTGTGAATATGAAAGTGTCATCACATAGTTTGTCCAGCAGAGGGAGCTGACTCTGAAGTGTATTACACTCCCACTGTCTGCAACAAATATAGCTAACTAAAGGTGGTTGGCTATGGTAATCATAATTTTATATAACAATGTTTAAGAATGGAAACTTTCAGGGTATCTTTGCATAGTCATGCAAAACACAAGAAAAAAATTATATTTAAATTCCAACTCAAAATGTCAGACGGTGAACTCACCCCTCAACAATCGGTGTTGTAATCGCTCTCAGATATACTTTATCAGTCAGGATCTACAACATACTATACAACAGAATGAACTTGAACTTAAAGCTAACATAATATCGATTTTAACAGTTAAAAAAAATAAAATGAATGGAAATGTAAAAGTTGAACACGTAAGATATCTACTTAATTAAATCATAAAACGACCTTACTATATCATCAGACATTAAGGAATCATAATATGTTGAAGTGCTGGCTTCTATCACAAACAATGCAGCAGCCAGTCCTTCTAAGTTTTGATTCTGGTCCAAAATGTTCTGTATCTGTTTTGACCAGAGAAGGTATGAGGATTTAAGGCATCCCCAGTCGGCCGTTTTGGACACCCCTTAGTTTACAATGCAAACCGCAAAACTACAGGTGTTGCAGCAATGAAATTGGACAGGCGAACTGGTTTGGATATAACTGATTGTACTCTCGCTCAGAAGCCTCTGCATTTTTCTAATAAGCTCCACAAACAGAAACTTGGTGTAACTAGGATAAATATTGGAGATGCTTTTGAAAAATGGAGAGAGGTTAGCGACATGGCAACCTGCACATCGACCATAGGGAGTAGGGGGAGACAGTCAAATTGGACTGCAGTTCACTTTTTTTAACACTAGGTGTCCCTAGTTACAGTACATATTACTCCTTTAACATTTCCAATATGTTGTAGCTTGTTAACATGTAGATATAGACAGGAGTGTGAAACATTCATTAAAGAGTTCAGACAGTTTCTAACGCTGAATATAATATGAATATGTGTCAGAGTTACATAACGCTCCTTTAAAATTTGTTATGGCACATTTTTGACACAAACATGTAAAGATCAGAAAAGTCAAATGTCTGTGTTTTTCAGTATCTCATGTTATTTGTTATGACTTCACATTATATATTTTAAATAGACACAATTCTGGAGATTAGTCTATTAAAGGTATAATGGAAAGAAAAGAATCATCCTCAAATTACTGCAGTGTACATTATTACATCCTAATGACAAGTAAGCTTTGCAAATGCACACTCTTAAAAAAAGCAGAAGAAACTTTTACCTAGTTTTAAGTTGATGGTGCAGTATTTGCAACCTTAGATACCTTTGATGTTGTTTAAACTTTGTCTGACTTTCCACAGGCAATATGTGATAATGCAAAGAGTGTCCCTGGCTGCCGGGCTATTTTGGGGCTTTCTGGTTGAATGGAGTCATGAGGTGGTGGGTGGGCAGATGACGTGATGTGAAGCAGGTATTGCAGCATCACTGTTGATTTGAAAGAATGCTTTAATCCCATTTGTACAGTTAAAACTATAAATAAAATAGTGTTGGTGGGTTTTTTACATGCAAAAGGCAAGCACTCAATGATGGTGATGGTTTCGATTGATTATGACAATAACAATATTTTGGATGGTTCTGATGCTGATAAGAACTTTCAAGAACAGCTGTCGATGTTGTGCACTGCCTGTCAGCACCTGTGTGTCTGATCAGACTTAAGCTGTTCGTTTGCACCTACTGACGATGTTTCCTCCTCTCTAGATCCTTGCTTGTGTTGTGCTTACTCTGATGTACGCCACTTTGGATACAAGCATCCGCTAAATTGTGTCCTGCTTTCGTACATGATACTCTAAACTCTTTATCAGAATCATAGTTAATGTATTAAAATAAGTACATCTCCTGAAAAAGAAAAATTACCAAATGAAAATAAAGAAGCTTTTAAGTGCCTGAATCATTTTCTTATTTTAGGCCAGATCTTTCATCAGATTTTCACTTATTACCAGGAATTTCAGGTTAACGTCACTTAAGAAGTCCCCTGAAGTGAGGTGAAATAACTTTTTGAACCAGCAGAGGTCCTTGATAATAAGAGGCTCTTCATAATCAGTGTCTGCAGGTGGCCGGTGAGCCCACATGCATAACTTACACCAACAGCTTGTCCTCATTTGAATATCCATTTAGTCAGATAGTTTATATTTAAGTCAGAGAAGAGAGAAATGGATAAGTGTGTTGTTATTTAAACTGTAAACTGTAAGGTTTTTTAAGTTAAAGTAATGCTTTTAATTTAATACTGATGCTTCTTTTGTGATGACTTAAAATCTGGGTCATTAGTAACCTTCATATCTGACTTTCTACTGACCTCTCTTGTTGTTGTGCAGATGTAGAGCATTACAGGGAATGTCAATAACCCCCCTTTTTCAATAACTTTGAAAAAGGGGGGTTGTTATACACACATCACATAGTTACAGGGCAGTGCAAAAACTTAACTTTATCAAAACAATTATTGATAACAGACAAAACATGTCCGTTACAGGCTAGTTAGCTCAACATGTTTTTGTTGTCATGTTACAGCTATTAGTCTAACATCTGTAGAGATGGCTAAATAATCGCGGTGTTATAAATCATGAAAACAGCCATTTTAAAGAGAAAAAAAAAATGGACCTTGTGTGTTGTGTCTTTTTTACAAAAGCGTCTTAACAAATCCATAAGCGTTTCTGATCAAGATGTTTATGACACCCGCACATTTTAACACTCTGCTACTCTGTTGAGAGCAGGAATGGTTCATTTCACTAATCCACAGCTTGTTGGGTATATTTTTTTCTCTTGGACACGATCAGCTCATGACAACAAGGAGCAGTGTTACAGTAAAGATTTCATGCTGAGGGAAACAACAAAGACTGCTTATTAATACATTCAGCATATTATCTTCTCAATAACTCTGTTTGTTTGGCAACCCTCCCTGATACTTTCTTTTTTTTTTTTTTACCAAAGACACATTTTAACAGCATTTGGTGCCTGGCAGGTGGTCATTTCAGATTCTACTCACTGTGCAAACAGTCAGCATTTAGATGTGGCTTCACTATAAGTATTCATAACAATTAAATGATAGCTGCTGTATAGTTGGGCTGCACAATGGTGAAGTGGTTAGTGCTGTTGCCTTACAGTGAGTAAGTTACAGGCTTGAATCCCTGTCGGACAGGGCCCATCTATGTGGGCTCTCTCCAGGTACTCCGGCTTTCCCCCACAGTCCAAAGACTTGCTCATTCGGTTAATTGGCGACTCTAAATAGCCCGTACAGTATGACACCAACACGCAACATCAAATCAGGACTGGTAGCCTGCATAGGCAGTCATTACTTTAGTGTTTGCAGTTTTGTTAGAAGACCTCAATGCTATCTCAAAATAACAACGTTGATTATATTTAAATAACATACTGCTACATTATGGTTTAAAACTGGAAAAAAAAAAAACAAGCAAAGCTGTAACCAGCAAAAACAAGCAAAGAACATAATATTGTATATTGCTCATTAACAGCTGTAACCAGCAAACGTAAGAAATCTTTAATTACTTGAATAAAAACAGTCAAACCACATCAAGAACATAATATTGTATATTACAAGAACCAAATATGCTTCCATTAACAGTTTCTGCACCATCAATAAAAAGAGACAAATAAATATGATACAGTTATATTTATAGGGTATCAACCAGTCCTGATATGGTATCTGGATTCAATATATGTTGATAATGACGGCAAGCTTCAATGTAATATTTGATTTCTTTCTCAAGTCTGGTGGACGTCATTTAAAGATGTTCGTGTTTTTACTTAAAAAAATGAATCAGATGAAGCATGTAGTCATTGTACTTCTTGAAGTAAAGAGTGAAACAACTGGAGTTAAATTTAGCAGCAGCTCAGCTTGCTGTCACTTCAGCCGTGCCTCAGAGTGTTGTAGAGACAGTGATTGACATAAAGCCACTTTATTCACTACTTTTAACTATCTGCACTTAAGAAAAAAGAAAATGTGTGCTACTCTTCCAACTGGCAGCATTAAGGAAAAATGACAGTGATCCCAATCTTTGTCATGATACCCAGCCCTTTTATACTTGACCAATGTTGGGCATCCCAACTTATCTACCCAGAGCATGGGCTACACACAGAGGTTGAAACCAAATGAAACAGGAAGTAGGAGTCTGCTTCTACTGTGCTTTGACCTGCTGACTAAGTTGTGACCAGTGTCTTTTGTTTTCACTGCCGGCCTGGGTCAGGGCTGAGCATCAGTCATCTTCCTCTTGCGGTAGTTGAGAACCAGACTGGAGGCGGTGAGTTGGGAGGCCTGGCCCTTCTCCCAGCTCTGGAAGCCGTTCAGGCCGCTCTGCCCGGACCTGAACAGAGTCTTCTCCAGACAGTCCAGGTGCTCAACTAGCACCGACGTGTCCTCATTGTAGGCATTCTGGGAGGAGTCCATGATCCGTCTGAAGCGACCTATGAATGTCTGGAAGGATGATGTCAACAGTTTTGAGGATTGGAGTTGTGGACTTTTTGGTATGCTGGCAACGTTTTTAAATCAGAGTGACCTAGTTTGTAAACCAGCAGTAGCAGCACCTTTGATATAAAATTGAATCATAAACCTCCGTTATGTATATTTTTATGTCTCTCGCCTTACGGCAAAACCATCACCAAGAAACACATGGATGTCAAAAATACGGAAACTTTCAAGAGGATGACTCCAGAAATTCCAGAGTTCTACCATCTTGCATATAAAAAACATCTCACATCCTGCCTTTCATGCGTCTTCAGGTGAGATTTCTACCTGATATTTATTTTCTTATTCCTAACATTCTGTCAGGTCTTCATTTGCTGATGTGGTTATAGACCAAGAGGATGGCTTTTTTTTTTTTTACTTAACACATGTGATAATCTTAAAATGTGTGATGCTTAGAGGAGTAATTTATCAAGCATCAATCCTCCTCCTTGTATTTTTATGTCAGACAATGAGATCAGAGTCAATCTGCCTGGTAACAGACAACCAGCACTCTGCAGTGGTTTGTGATCTCATTGCTCCCCCTAGCTGCAGTGTGTTTAATAACACTTCTGTCTCCACTATGTATCTGTTGCTCAGTTACATTTTGTAGCATATAGACTGAAATATGTAATTTGTTTATTTTACCAAATGCATATTCACATTTTTGGGACCTACAGGATATGATCGAACACTTAATTAATGAGTAATGTGTATAATTAATAGATTATAAATCCATTTAGGGTTTCCAAAGATGTGTTGTGTCCTTAATGAAGTGCTAAAGTAATCATTAATCATTTTAAATCAGGAGTCATTTATGCAACACAGCACCCTGTTTGATCATGCTTTTATAAATAGTCATCCTGCATAGAACTTGTAACTCCTGTTATAAAAAGTTGAATGCCTTTTTCAGCAGAATGGATTGACATTAAATGCCAGTCATTTCGCTAAACTCCTCTGTGCTATGGTTTGTGTGTGTGCACCTGCAGCAGTGTCTGTGCAATCTCTGGATTCTCCGGGCTGTCAAAGTGCAGCATCTGGGATCCCAGGCCGTAGTAGTAGGGCCCCATCTTATGAAGGTTCACCACGTTGGGATCGGCATTGAAAACCGTCCTCCAGCCTTCCCTGTACACCTTCGGAGTCTCAACTGACAGCACCCGTCTCTTCTTCTCGTACAGACCTTTTGATAACCACACAGGGAGTTCCATCTTTGTACCCTGCAATTAAAGAAACAGACTTCAGAGTCAACACCACGGCTCTCCGAGGTCTGCAGGTAAATGTGCTGGAGCATATGTGGAATAATTAGCCAGGATCAAAGACTGAACTTTTACATAACACATATTTTAAACTTTTCAGAAGAGCATTGGTGTTATTTATAGAGATCGTACCGACAGCGATGATCAAGAAAAATCGTTCATTTTTAACATTCTCAGCTCTCACAGTCTTTCTTTGAAAACATTCAGACTGAACTGCAAGTAACCACAAATGTTGTACATCAAGACGTCCAGACGAGATGGAACAGCTGCTTCTGTGTGGTAAAAAGTACAATTCTTACACTTCAGTTGTTGCTGCTGCTGCTTCCTGTTCTCCTGTTCGTTTTGTGCAGCCAGCACAAAGTTCACATACATTTCTTGGGAATCACTTTAATAAGAAATGCAATGCCAGGGATGCTGGTGACCTGGTAGTTGGTGTACGGAGGCTTAGCATCCTGGAGAGTGGGGGGGGGGGGGGGACGGGTTCAGGGTCCGCCTATGTCTCCTTTCCCACATTTCGTTTCTCTCTCTCTCTCTCTCTCTCTCTCTCTCTCTCTCTCTCTCTCTCTCTCTCTCTCTCTCTCTCTCTCTCTCTCTCTCTCTCTCTCTCTGTTTTGACTCTTTCCACTATCATATCACTTAAATTCAAACATAAAAGTCCAAAAATAAATGTTGAAAATGCTGCTTACTACTGCATGGTGCAACCTAAGCCTATACAGTACATAATACCTACCAACAAATTAACAGAATTAGTTATCAGATCAGAACTGAAAAAAGTGGATCTATGCATCTCTTGCTGTTAATGACAGTAATGGCGTTTTTAGAGAGCTGGCACTTATTAATTACATGACATGTTTTGTTTAGCAATACTCTTCGGAGGTCAAGGTTAATGTACTACATTTTCCTAAAATGTAAAGAGTACCCAGACTTACCTGTTACATTTGTTTTAATAGAGGTTTACAAGTTACTATTATTTAATATAAACACTCAGTTGTCTTTATATTTACAGTCTATGATCCTGAGGATTCGTGAAGTGGTTGATCTCTAGGATTGTAAAGATAGCTTGAATTGACTTTCTTATTTATTTATTTTTTATAATTTTCACTCACGTACCAAAACAACACTGAACGATGCTTCTCTCTTGGACTTCCTGACAGACTATTTCCTATATAGAAATAATTTAACAACTTTGTTTGAAACATGTTTATCAGTAACTTTACAAACCTCTGTTATGTCCTGCGAGTCGCTCGATTTCTCCAGGAATCCCAGCCGGGGGAAAGTGCACTCTGTCCGGATAGGAAGTTTCTCATGAGAGAGCAAAATATCGTCCAGAGAAAGGAAGTTCTCCTCCATCCCGACACCAGGCTGTACCGATAGATATGATTGTGTATCCATCTTGAGCAACAAAAAGGGGACAAACGGTGGTCTTGTATTTAATAAATTGACAGACGTCTGCCCTCTTGTGCCTAACACACTTCCTCCTTGATGCTTGGCGCCAGGATCTGTTAACCAATCAGGGCGCCGCTGTGGCTTCCAGACCAGAGCAATCGATTTGTTTAAATCGAACTCAGTAAAAAAAAACTTTATTCTAATCTTGTCTTTTACTAACAAAGATGTTTTTTTCTTAGTTTAATATAGGATTGAGAATTACTGAAACAATACTTTAACTATTTGAACATCATCTCTGGCAGTAAAATTAATTACAAAATACAAATCATCTTTATGCCATTGAGATGAAATTAGAAATTCAGCCTTTAGAGGTCAGCGTACTCCCATTACAAATGTAGATCCTTTTTGACCTGTTACAAGAGCGATCAAGAAGCTTCATTAACATTGATAATAATAATAATAATAATAATAATAATAATAATAATAATAATAATAATAAAATAATAACAATAACAATAATAACAACAACAATAATAATAATAATAACAATATTTATAATAATAACAATAACAATACTACTAATAATAACAATGACAATTATAATAATAACAATATAATAATAACAATAATAATAATAATAATAACAATAACAATAATAATAACAATATAATAATAACTATTATATTATTACATTCCATCAAGCAATTTTTTAATTGATTATCTGTCCCTGTAGGTTGTGCATTGAAAAACTTTAAAAAAGAACACATCAATTGAGCTGCATGCTATGATACATAGCGGACATTGTGCGTCACAAAAATAGGGGATGAGGTTAGCAGTTAGGATTATTATTTGGTTTCTTTAGGCCCACTGTTGTGCACAATGATGTGCTTCCCCAGCCTTGCTGAAATCTACACTGCCCTCTGTCTGAAAACTCACCGTGTCATGGTCTTATTAAGGGACATGGATGATGTCATGCAGCCAAGAAGCTTGTTAATCTTTGAAGTGGCGGGTAAGAGGCATCACACCACGTTGTGATCAGTGTTTGAAGAATAGATGAAATAGCTTATAAATCTTGAAAACTTCCAAAAACTGTTTCTCTATAAGTTAAATAACTATCCCCTTAGCTTCTGAATCCAACATTAAGTGTAGGGAAGGTGGTTTGTTTGAATACGAAACGCTCTTTGGTTAGGCTTAGCCACAATAACTTTTAGGTTCAGTACATACAATTAAGTCCTTCTGTTAGTGTTATTATATTCAAGCAGTGTGTTATTGAATGTTTAATGGCTTGACTCTATTATTTGAAAATTAGCTGGGAAGTCTATAGTCACAGTGGAGTGCTAACAGTGGAGTTACATGGTGCAAAATCAAAGTCTATCATCTTTCATCTATGATCACAAAAAAACAAAAAAATAAAGTTGCGGTCCTGTCGTAGATCTTTTGGTTTAAATTTTAGTTTGTGGCAAAGAGAAATTAAATAGTTATCATAATAATTTTGCTAGATTACCAAGAACTGCCTTTCTGATGAAATATGAAATAATGAGGAAGCACATCGCTCGTCACTCTGAGTGATGCACATTGTAAGGCTTCGTCTCCTGGAAGAAAGTCTGTGTTGTCACAGAGCGGATACTCACCTGCTCGCCACTGATCGTGTCAGTCAGCTGCCTGAAATTTTGGATGATGGCTTTTGTGGTTTCATCACTGTGAAACAATATCATAGTATTCATCACTGTAAAGCCACTAGACTCCACACCTACTGTATGGAGACAGACCCCCCCCTATATTTCCACAATGCCCTGTCTTTGGACTTATTAAAGATAAAATCTCAAACACCATCTGTTCTCCACAGCCTCCAAACTACATAGCTTTGCCTTGTCGTCGGTCTCCCATTTATTTGCTACCTGTCTCTGTTTTGTTTTTGTTTTGTTCTTTGATTGGTCCCTCCACTATTTAAAGCATCCTTGAGTCCCTTGTTTATCTTATCTTATCTTGGGGTGGCAGTAGCTCAGTCTGTAGGGACTTGGGTCACCGGTTGAAGTCCCGGTGTGGACCAAAAAATATGGAATTGGTATGGTAGCTGGAGAGGTGCCAGATCACCTCCTGAGTACTGCCGAGGTGCCCTTGAGCACTGGCACCAAACCCCCTCCTCAGCAGCGCCCGCTGTGGGCAGCTCTGTCACTCTGACATCTCTCCATTAGTGCATGTCCACAGGATCCTATTTGTGCATTTGTGCATATTTCAGCCTATGTGTGTGTTGCATGACTTACAGAGTGTAAAAACAGAATTTCCCCTTGTGGGGATCAATAAAGTCAAATCTTAATCTTAAACTCAAGACCAGCAGCAACTCTAGGCTATAATATTCAGTTAGTTGGTTAAACACCTGCATATGGATTTAGTGTATTAGAACTGACCCATAAGAACTTAAAGTTACGTTCTGAGCTCTCATGATAAAGTTCCTCTGCACTGAGTTGAACATCTTTACAGGAGTTAAAACCCTTATATTATGAATGGTGCAGTGTGAGCACAGAGCAGCCCGTGTTATGTGAATGACTAACTCATCACTTGTTACTCGAGGCAGTTTTCCTGTCAGCTTCACATCACTACAGGAGCTCCTTTGGGAGTTCACTGAATTCAATTCTTAATACCAGCAAATATGAAATGTAACGCACGTATAAAGGGACTACAGAGACATAAAACAGCAATAAAAGCAAAGGCAGCAACAACTTTTCTACCTATCACCAGCTTAGCATAGTGAGCAGCGTGCCATGTTTTCATGAGGAGATTCTTTCTCAATTTTTATGTTTCAGAAATTAAATGTTGTTCTTTTGATAGCAAGCTACATACAATCTGGAGTTGCATTGGCAGATTTTTTTAGGATTCATGGGTCTTTAAGTCATGTTGGAAAATTTTTGAGAGAGAAAATCCGTCAATAGGATGCACTGCAGCAACAGAACATGTGCTTGAAGTAAGAGTCACACAAGGGAAAGGGAAAGTAACAGCTTTTTTGATAGAGAGCTGAAGGTACACACTTGTGTAAACAGAAACATAAGGACAAATGGCAACTGTGATAACCAAGGTATATTTCAGTTTGAAACGTCTAAATGAGCTTAATTAGGATTAGGATTTACATTCAGCCAGATCCCTTTAAACTCTGGGTACATTTAAGATTAAATCAGTAGTTCAAGTGACAGAAACATACATGTTTAGGGTGCTGCAGTTCAGAATTGTATTGTTTTTCTCTTCTCTTACCTTATTCCTATAACAATGGCTGCTGAGGCTATGAGGAATTGTACTGTGTGGAGAAATTCATTCAAATGACTAAATAATACAAGATTACACTGAGCCTGTTTAGAGATATGATGGTTCCTTCATATTCATCCTGAAATAACTCCTGGAGTGTGTCTCATTAATGTGTGTCACTAATAGAAAAATGGTATGTTATGAGAATTGTGTGTCTATAGGCCCAGAAATACCCCAAGGATTTGAATATGTGTGATGGAAATCCCAGTGCTTCAGTTTGCATACGACGTATGTGGGTCACAAAATGAAAGTTCAACATAGAGTCTGTCATCTAGCACAATTTATTCCACCATTTGTTTACAGTAGCTTTGTAAATGCAGTTTGTTCGTAAGTTGATTTGTAGTAGTCGTCATACATCAGCTCTTGGCATTCTGAAGAGTGAGTAACACCTCACATGATTTGAATATTAAACAAATATTGTTAAATATGAACAAATGAATAAATAAGCCCCGTTCAGTGGATCCACTGTGGGACTACAGAGTCCTTTATTGGGTCTGAGTGGCTCACGTCTCCACTCGCAGTCAGCCAGACCTTCTCTAGCAGAAACACAATGTGGAGAACCGACAGTAGCATAGACCAACAGGGGCCTCTTGACTCACACACTCAAACGCACATGCACACACAGTCATATGCACAGAGACGCACTCACACACTCATATACACACACACACACACACACACACACACACACACACACTTGAGGCTCTCACGAGAAAATGACTAATCATGATCACATGAAAAAATCTGGCAGATCTAAAAAGAAAGAACCCAGAGAGGTTACGTGTATAATTTACAATATGTCATGTCGCTTCTCTGTAGCTGTAAACATCAGCAAAGTAAAGGGAGGACTGCCAGTCACACACACAGGGAAAATGGACACCTAGACTGTAAACATTTCAATACACAGACACACATAGCACTGTCCAAGTCAGCTCTCTACACTGACCTTTCACGCTGGCTCTCACTCACACACACACACACACACACACACAGTCACACACACTCACACTCACGCACAGCAGGCTTCTGCAAAAGCTATGTTGTCACGGTTCCAAGCACGCACACACGCTCACACATAATTTACATACACATACCAGACAAAGCCTGACACCGGAGCATCTCAAACACACATTAAACAGTAGGAGCAAACACTACATTTCTGGCCCCTTCCCCCCCCTCCTGATCAGAACTGAGCAAGCTCAACCCGCTCCTCTCAATCCCAGGTCCATCATCAAACCACCCCCTTCATCCTATAGTCACGAGGCAAGCTGACATCTAAGTTTGTTTGTTTTGTTTTTTGTTTTTTTTACATTTTGTTCACCCTCCATCCTGCCCACAAACCAGGACAAAGAAGCATTTTGGGGAAGTGAATATAATGCGCCAATTTGTCAGGGTGGGGGTGCTCCGAACTGAGGCAGAGACTTTGAGAAAGAAGGACACCGGGACCCAGTCTGCCATTAGAGGAAGTCATCATGTTGGAGTCCCGTTGTGAGATGAGAGGCCCACTAAAAATGTACAAGTCTGTTTGTCAAAACAAGCCTCAGCAACTCAACAGTTCTCCATACATCGATGACCCCCTCCCTCTCCTTCTTGTCCTCATCGTCTTCCTTGGTGTGGGTTTTTCCTCCCCTTTTCTCTCCGGCCTCCCTCCCTGCTCTGCTTCCTCAGATCTCCACAGTTAAGGCCATGGGAGGGCTGCTTGACATGATTGACTGACAGTCCTGGATCCGGATACAAGATGTAAGGCTGGCTGATGGAGGCCTGCGAGGACCTGAGCTCTTCAGGGAGGCGAATGGACACTTGGGTTGAAGGGGGCTTTGAGGCAAAGTAAGCTCTTTAAGGGACTCTAATGGCCTTCGAATGGGGTCTGGAGAGAAGCAAGGACAGGAGTAGTTGCGTATGTAAGCAGTCTCTTCAGCAGTGGTAAAGAGGGACTCGGGGAGAGGCCGTTAAATGTACGATGGTTTGAGAGTCAGGTGTTTTTTGGTTCAGTTTACAAGGAATAATTATCTTGATAAGGTTTATGGATTCTGTCAGGGTAAGTATGTGTTGATCGCTTTGATTGTTTTATCCTACTCGGTTGCGTCTGTCCACATATCCATGGCAGGACCACAAGATGTCCTGCAGACACAGAGGGAGAAAGTGTATGAATTATGAAAACAACTTGTAATCCATTGTTCATTTCAAGCTTTGTGAGCAGCATGGCTCTGAAGTTGAGGCCATTTTTTGTACATTATTGGACATTATCCATGCGGAACAAACCAAAGAAAGGATTTGCAGTAACAGTTAAAATTCAGGTCACAATATTCATTATTAAATAGTTGCTTATTAGCATGCTAAGCCCTTATTAGTACCTTCTTCCACAAGATCCATAGTCTATAGCTAATATGCTAATGACTGCTTATTGACAGTAAGTGAGGAAGTTGTTGAACATGATTTATGATCTTAATATGCTTATGCTTTATATCTAGGTCCATACCCTCCCCTCCCTTCCTCTCATCCCTTCATCTTGTTTGTATAACTCTAGGAACAGTCTGGGCCGTGATCAGCTCGGTCAGAATAATGCCTGAGACGGAACTCACACCCTGACTCAGTCCAACCCGACCAGCCAACTGACAACATCCTCTTCTGTCATGATCATTATCTTAACATACAATCATCTGATCTATCATTAAATATCTAAAACGCACACTGTTGTGGCATGGCCCTTGCTAGCGAATGCACAGGCAAAGTCTTGTTCATGTTTAGCATGATGCTCTGCAGATCTTTTTTTTCCCGATGGCAGCACATTTGTATGTTGTATTTAAAGTCGTTTTTTTTATGTTTTTATCAACTCAACTACAACGTGACCTGCTGCTGGTCGCAGCGCGAGCAAGTGCCCTCAGGCAAACTAAATTGTTTATGACTGCGGAACATTTTCTACCAATTATCAGTTTTGTCCTTCTCAAATGATTCTGTACTCAGTTAAATACATTAAATCTGTTATGTCATTGAAGGAAGTTTACATGCACAGTCTCACATATCACACAGTCATACATATGTGGCAATAATCAGCTTTCAGACTGAAGTGTGTGTGTGTGTTCTTTTTCTCACCTTGAACAGTGTTCATAATGGGCCTGGTGGTCAGTCAGTCAGAGGGGTGTTCAGGGCAGGACCGATTGATCTCAAACCACGAGTCTATACAGCTGGAGGAACACACAAACACACGAACACGTTGTCAGACCACATGCACATATAATGCAGCTGCTAATACAGAGGATATTGTGTGTGTATATTAAAGACATTCAAAGATTTACATCATGAACTCAAAAGGTCATCAGCCCGGAATTTAACAAATGAACATGAATTTGATAATGCAAGACATTTCATAGGATAACACTTGAATTGTACAGTTATCTTAAATAATTCAGTAGGCCTACTACAGAGGATTGTTGCTAAAGTAACAAGTGGGCAAGTTGGAAGGTTTCCATGCACTCCCACAACAGCAGAAGAGACAATATACAATATATAATTGAGACCGAGAGGAAACATAACAGCAGTGTTACAGCACACTCAAATGTACCTCCACATTCTCACCCAATTTCTGTGATTCTTGTGATTCTTCTTGTGAGTATCAGAGGAAACTCTTTTACCTCAGTGAAATAGCAATCGAAATAAAAGCAATAATAATACAGTGCCGTAATATGCACACATCTATAAGGGGTGTATGCGTTTTAAAATGTAGGTTAAGTTAAATTACAGAGAAATACAGAAAACAAATAAAGCAAACTTGAAGTATTTCAATTTAAAGAAGTCCTTGAAAGAACTGTGGTATTGTATTAACAATAGTATACATTCTAATATATAGAAAAAAGTCTGTGTACGATTTATTCCTGTACAAGTTCTATTAAGAATAAATCCATGTTTTTACATTGTTTTAAGGTACAAGTTAAAGTCTACATTATACATGCTTAAGCACTTCACAGTTGTATTTAGTTGATACTATTTTTGAACCAGTATTGTTATCTTCAGGCAGAAAATGGTTTGGAAGAACTGCTTCATCGGAATCCTGGATGCTAATTTTAATGCTAATGTTGCTGCAAATAAAAGACTGGAAAGAAGTTATCAGTCATGTAACTGTAAAGTCCAATCAATGCATTACTTCATCTCAAAAAATAAAGTTCAGTAGAAATGATGGCTCATGTTTCTCTGTGTTCTATATTTAAATGTCTAATGATATTATTTTTCCTTTGTGAATTAAACTATGATTTGCACCTGTGTTTTTAATGTTCTACATTAAAAAAAGTATCTGTGAGTTTTATTAAAACATTGAGTTAAACTGGGATGGAAATCAGCTGATCTGCTTTATGGCACAAAACAGGAAGAGGGTGCTGTTTGTGGAGGGATAAAAAGTTCACGTGATGGAAAGCAAACGCAGACGTGAACAGCAAAAATGTTCTGTTAATTAAAGTGTACATTTAATATGTAAACATTATAAATAGCCTATACTCAAATAAGGAATTACATAGAAAGGAAAAAAAACTAAATGAAGCAATATCCTTTTGTCTGAGAAAGCGCTAAGACTCATGGGTAATACCCACTCAACTAAACACTAGCAGCCTTCAGGTGTCTTTAGCCTGTTCACATTTGTTCATGATTCTTCTTTAAAAGACGACAGATAGTTTACCTGACTGGGAATGTTTAAAAACTGCACCACACAGCTCTGTTATTGTCCAATGATAATACAAAAACAACCTCTAATTCAAAGTCAACAAGCAATGTCCATCTTTAAGGAAATTTTTTATTGCCATGCAGGAAGTAGATTTAATTAAAAGAAGTGCAACATTATATAACAGGCAATGATTCATTTCTGTATGTGTGTGATTGTGTGTGTGAGCGTGTGTGTGTGTGTGTGTGTGTGTGTGTGTGTGTGTGTGTCACCTTTTGTGGTAGATGCAGAGGCACGGCAGTCTGGCTATGGTGTCCCCTTGCTGCAGTTCCTCTAGACAAATCACACACTCACCGGCATCCCTCGCCAACACATCATCTAAAGTGGCAGGCACACACACACACACACACACACACACACACACACACACACACACACACACACACACACACACACACACACACACACACACACACACACACACACACACACACACACACACACACACACACACACACACACAGAAACACAAACAGGAGAACATATATCAGTATGCACCGAAGACAGCCACAATTTCAGACTCCGGCAGCATATCAAACACAGCAGGGAGCAGTAAGGACAGCAGGTTGGTGCATTACACGCAGTAAATGGAGAACCAAATTCAAGATGTATAAGAAGTCTCAAGGCTGTTTGGACAGGAGAAAAATTACCAGACCATCATGTGGAAACTCATCATCAAAGAAAAATTATGATTTTTACCCACATAACTGTTATTATGAACGTAGGCTTTAAAAAAAGTGTTTAAATGGTCTACATGTAAGGTGATTTAATATTCTCCAAAAAAGTTTATGACATTTTTTTTCCATAATACAGAATTTATATTTGGTTCAATTGTAGTCAAAACTTTTCTGGAAAGTTGTTCCGTTTCTGCCCTGTGAGTTGAACATAACGTTTTATGCACGTTAACATTCGAAGCCCCAAAACATTTAGCTTCAAATCTTAAGTATTCCCATAAGCTACATAATCATGTTTATAAAAACCTTTCTAAATCTCCCATGTCATCAGATTCAGGAAAAGTGGATGAATGATATATCTCCCAGGCTCTTATCTGAATCCTCTGAATGATGCATTAATTAACAATAAACCTGACTTTCTGATGTAGGGTGTAATTTAAAGAAATGCAGTGTATATTTCTACTTTAACACCAGTGTATTCTAGGAATCACAACATTGTCTTCAGCACTTTGCTGCTGAGCAAACGTCGGTCTGGAGTTTAATTGGTTGACAATATGTAAAGATGGTCCCATGTGTGAATTCATGTGTGAATTAGTTTGTTTTTTTCACTCAGGGAGAAAATGTTCAGGTATCTTATCTAAAATAAAGCTTTGAACCTTGAACTAGAAATATAGTGGATGCTTGCTGCTGCTTCACTTTGAGTTTCTTTAGCTTGAAGTGGAAGCTGGAACTACAGTCTCTATCCACAGAGAGTCAATAGGAGCCAAACTGGTCGCAGTGTGAAAACAATTATCTGCTGGTTTTTGTTTGGAAATAAACTGGCTAAAAACTGTTCAGATTACAGTAATCTCATTACACCTTTCTTTTCCTGCATTAACTGCTTTCATTTTTATTTGACAGTTACCATATGTATAAATTCAGTTCAAAGTAGATTATAGTTCTTAAAAGGAGTTTTTTTTTTCTGGCAGGTGGTCTGCAAACATTACACCACACAAATAGATTACAGTTCATATAAACATTATGGAACAATAATACAAAAAAATATTTTTTATTAATAAATAATAAAAAATAATGTTAAGCTTTAATACAAAAATAAAATAGTTGAAAGACATAACACCATAAGTGTATGGCACTTGACCAACCCAGCTGACCTAACTCGTCCAATAAGGCAGCAGTCCGACCTTCAATTGATGATATATACTCTACTAGTATCAGTTCTGCATGTGATTTATGTTTGTGATTTGTATGTCATAATTGGAAAGACAGGGCAGTGGACAGAGTCAGAAATCAGGGAAGGAGTGGGGAATGACATGTAGGAAAGGAGCCACAGGTCGGATTATAAGCCATCTCGGCAGCTTCTGTACATGGGATGTGCTAACTAACCAACAAAGACACAACACAGACCTATTTTCAAGCATTAGGAACACCAAGCTGCTGTAATTAATGTGTTGGGGAAAACAACAGAATGGCTTTGTCAATGATTTAGAGTTGAGGTTGCGACTTATTTTCTTTTCTTTTCTACTGACAATAGGAATGAAAACCAGAAACATACATCAACAAATATCAAGGTTTAAGGATATGTCAGAATGAAAGTAAAGCATTTTTCATTTTGTAAGGTGTACTATTGGGAGAGCAGAAAGTGAACAAAGGGCTCTTCGCCCACGAGTGACTTTGTTTGTAAATGTGACAAAATAACACTGTCCAGCCCAGAACTTTGGTTCCACAGCTTCCGAGATCTTTGGACCCCACAAGATCCCACATCTGGTCTCAGCACAAGAGGAACTCAATCTTTTCCTGCTAAAACATGTTGTTTAGACTTTCATCCTGTAGAGTAAATCTCAGAGGGAAATAACCTGTCCGTTTGGACTGACCACAGGGCGGTAAGGCCGAGAGTGTTTTATGACCCTGCAGAGACTGGCGCCACCTCCATCAGTTAGAAAAACAGATAAATTTCACTCCAACTCGGACACGGGACATATCAGCACCTCCAGAGAAAAAAAAAAACATGGAGTCATTCACATTCCTTAAGGTGCAGTTTTAAATTAATTCCAAAAGAAACTTCAACATGAGCTGGTTCAAATCTGCATTTTCTGCAAAGACACTGTAAATGGTTGATGATAATGAATGAAATTAATTTGCGTTTCTCTTATAGACCAACAGCCAACTGAAAATCCCCCCCCACACAACACACACACACACGCACACACACACACACACACACACACACACACACACACACACATACAGAGAAATGGCCTTTAAGAGTACTCCTCTTTACTAAATATTAAATAAGGTGGATTTCAGATCAAATTATTCAGTAATACCTCTTATGTTTATCTCCTTTCTTAATACATCGGTAGAACAGATATATATGGATGGATAGATGGATGGATGGGATGGAGGGATATAGGGCACATAAGGACAGAGAGTAGACTGTGAGGTAGTGAGACAGAAGACATATGCTCTGACTGCAAATCAGCTTAGTTCTTCAACAAACTCCCATAACCCCTCTCTTCTCTCCCCTCCTTTGCCCTCACTCTATCTCTCTCTCCTCGTATGACGCCCACCTCTGTTATTCCTTTGTTCACTGTAGAACATCCCTCCATCCTCAGTCGCCCCCTCCTCCTCCTGAAACAACCCCAGCATCTCTCCAACAGAGCGCTTCAGATTAAATCTCTCTCTGGAATCTGCATGCTCTGTCTGAAAAAAAACAATACAGCATCTCCACTCCTCCTCTTCCTTGTATATACATGGAATACAAATCCAACCAGGAAGCACTCAAAGATTAATCTACCCCAGAAAAAGTCCCACAGTCCTTCAAGAGACACAGCGGTTCATGCTTGGCTGTGAGTGCGAGCGTGTATTAAATCTAAAGTCAACATCTGACCCCAGCTGTAATAATCAAGGGAAGAGGGTTGTTCAATCTTGTTTCCTTCACCTGTGAAAAAAAAATAAAAAATGAGGTCATCTGGATAAAGTTAGAGCCATAACTCAACGTAGTGCTGCTTCAGGCCAAAACTCTTTAAACTGACTGCAGTACAAACTGCAGCTGCAAGACTTCTAAGTGGATCAGATAGGAGAGCGTCAACACTGTTAAAGTTACCTCCACTGACTCCATATGAACTCCAGAGCTCATTATGATGTGTTTTTGTTAACTTTTAAAGCCTCTGAGAATCTAAGAGCAACATAAGTGGGCTTTGACTCATTAGTACCAGCACATGACCTTATGCTACTTTTCCCCAGGCTAAACCCGGTTACTATAGTACAACAAGCACCACCATTCTTAAGAACTACTCAGGGATTGAATACCTTCTAGTGGTCTTTGGATGCTGAAATGTTCAATAGAAAGTGTCCTTACCCCTATGCAGAGGTGGAAAGAGTACTGGAATATTTTAATTAGTAAAAGTACTATTATTTTGATCAAATTTTACTCAAGCACAAGTAAAAGTACCAGATTAAAAATACACTCAAGTAAAAGTAAAAAGTAACTTGTTTTTACTTTAAGTAAAAGTTTTAGTTACTTTTTTTAACAACGGCTCTCTCTTGTGTAGTGCAAACAGGAGAGAGGATTTAAATCTCAAAGTTGTTTAATAAGTTAAGGTAAATCTTTACAAAATAAAACAAGTCGACACACAACATTTAAAACCCTTTTTAGGCCTTTTTTTTTTTTTTTTACCTCTAACAGTTGTGATTAAAAATGTAGTGAAGTAAAATAATAAACCTTAAACAAAACTTAACGTACCTACTTAAGTAAAAGTAAAACTTCTTAAAAAGTACAATTAAATCAAAAAAGTATTCAACTACATCAACGCAACTAAATCTAATTTGCTACTTTCCACCTCTGCACCTATGTTACAAAAACAGAAAGTTGTTTGTCTTCGCCTATTAGAACAGCAGAGCCTGTCAAAGGGTTTCCATGGGGAAAAAAAGTTCTATGGGATGATCTGATCTAAATTTGTCCTGTTATTGCAGCATGAAAGCTCCCATGCAGCAAGTTTAAAGACAATCAGCTGTTTAGATCATGAAATATTAAAAAACTTTCCCCCCACAAGCTGAATCAGCTTGTTGATTGATGTCAAAATTCACAGTCATCCATATTCTGTAATGATTAATCCAAAAGGAAACTGTTCTAAAGTTCAACAAAGTGGGATTAAACTTGGAATCGTTGTAACTCAACAGTGACATAATACCGCCTTACAAAGCTGGTAGTTTAAAGTCGTATTAAAACAAATGTATACAGATCCATCAAAATGGTTACATTTCAGAACATTCATTCAGACTCCTTTCAATAGAGTTTTTTTTTTCAGCAGCTACATGTTTTGTGACATTCAACAGTTCATCATTCAACAGTAGCGGCTGCGGCTCAGGTGTAGAGCTGGTCGTCTTCTATCCGGAAGGTCAGGGGTTCAATCACCAGCTCCTGCAGCAACATGTCCGATGTGTCCTTGGGCAAGACACTTAACCCCAAGTTGCTCTCGCTGCTTGGTCGTGGCATATTAATGTGTGAAACCAGTCCCTTACTGACCATGGAGCATGAACATGCTTATTATGGTTAATAGCAATATCTGTACACAAGTAGAATTTAGGTACCATAAAGACTTTGGTAAAGGACAAGGCGATGTTACGTCAAGTTTAACCACCTCA